ACCAAACAATTAATATGTAAACAAGTAGGAATAAAAATTGAATTAAGAATAAAATAATAATGCGTTGAATGAAAACTAAAATAAAAATCCTCAAACTTTAAATAATAAATTAATATTATTTAAATCCTTCAAATCCGTACAACTCGGGAATCCATCTAGTGGACCCCTAGTAAATCCAACTGATAAATAAATTTACAAAATAAAATCCAAACTAAAAATAAGAAAGAAAATCCTATACAGTCGGAAGAGTGAGTGACTGTATCTGCATCACCACGATCAAGCCCTAAGCCTGGTACTCACGAACACCTGAAAAATAAAGGTGGGTCAGGCCCACATGCAAGTTCCATCCTACTACAATCCGTACATAAACCCGATACGCAGATACATCCTAGATAGCTCGGCAATATCTAAAATAGTCCATATATATATATACACACACACTATAGGATGCTCACTAGCCTATAACATAGTTCAGCCTGGGTAGAAGGTGACATATAAAACACGCTTTCCAGCGGCCAAGTACCTAGATCTACCAGGGAATATCAGTTATATCTAGCTATCCATCCAATGCAATATACACACCCTAACCGTGATCAGGAGACTCAAGCTCGTATCACGGCACCATAAGTATATATATTTAAATCCTTCCTAATACATAAAAATAAAATAACCATCCGTTATGTCGTTCAATTGTTTTAGTTAATCCATTCCGTATGTATGAAAAGGGTAGGACTTAGCTTTTTGATCTAATTCATCCCTGATATGTCATCGTCCCATATCGGGACATATAATGCAAATGATCCACAAATGATGCACATTCATTAGAATATCAAATAAACCCAGAAACCAGCATAATAGAAAACAGATATTATTAAGATCCTATTATGCATCCAGTATATGATTATAATCATTAATCCTCCAAATAAATTGTTAAAGTATTGATAAACAATTTATATTATCCACATCCATACAATTGATAAAACAGAAGTTAAACAGTTCATCAATTAACATCCATAACCTGTTATAATGATCAGACAGAAATATAAACTAAATACATTATACTAGATATCCCAAACCATCCTCTCATACTATATTATTTAAATTGCCAAATCAAAGACTAGTAATGAAATCCTCCACAATCCTTAACGGCATGAAAGTTAGCATTTACACCACATGACGTCCCTTTGATCCTCTACTCCAAAACCTGTGCCTGATATAATATGACACTCTGAAGTCCAAACTGCTCATTATATGAAACCCCAACAGTATTCCCATACTAGTCCATTTAGTTCGCTAAACCAAAACTAGCAACTAAAATTCCTACCACTCCTGACAGCATACCATTTAATATCTAAGTTAATAATGTCTATGCCCATGTCCTACACTGAACTTTCTGGCCTCCATTAAAGTATATAAATAATTTATATAACATCCCAAAAGTAATTCGATACCAGTCAGTTTAAGTTATTAAAACAAACTTATTAACTTAAACATTCATCCTTCCTTGACAGCATGCCTATTCCACGTTTCTGTTTCCTGATGCCCCTTAGGATTAGCACCCTAGCATAAACCAACTATTTAAGGGTCTTAATAGGCTAATTTTAACATATTTGAAACCCCCTTTAATTTTTAGTATTTGCGTTTAACCCCAGAACTCCGGAAAAATTGCAGAAAACACCCCGTAGGGGTTTTTGTTCAAAGGAGCCGGCTCCCCCCCATGGGAGCCGGCTCTTTACCTTCCAGGGCCGGCTCTCCCTCATGGAGAGCCCGCTCTACATGCTTGGGAGCCGGCTCCCTCACTTAGGGAGCCGGCTTTCTCCCCCTGAGAGCCGCCTCTGTTCTGTTGCTTCGTCTCTGCTTCGTCCGGTTGCCGTCTATGCTTCAGGCGAAGCTTCCTATCCTATCCCCAAACCTTTGTAGCATCTTTTGGATTCTATTTAAGTTTCTTACAGTTTTAGAACCCTTCAGCTTCCAGTATAAATTCATCGACAAAAATCTAAGCCGAAAACAACAACAGTTTATGTTTCCACTGTTCGTCTTCTTTGATTCCGGTAAAGTTCTATCCTTTGTTCCAAAGTTTTCTTAAAGTTCTTAAGGTTCAAGATAAGTCCCAACAGACCTAGAAACTCCTCAATTTCTATTATGAATTGATTAACAGAAGTTCAAACCAAAAACAACACAATTTATGCAAGAAACAACAGTTCGAGTTTACAAGAATGCAACAATAGATTACAACCTAATCTAACATGCATACAGTTCATTTTAAAAGTTTAATTAAATTCCTAGAGTCTATTTAGAATGCACAGAACACAAGTTTATAGGAAGGAGATAGAATGAAACTTGCCTTTAGGTTTCGGTTTGAAACCTTTCAACGCCGTTGCTAAATTCTCCGACGAACTGTAGACTACCGGCAACTCTCCTATTGCTCCAGTTCTATCTCACCATCAACCTCTTCCTTCCTCTATAGTACACCTTTAGTCTATAGCTGAAAGCTTAATTGATTCTCCCTGTGTCCCTCTGTGTTTTTCCCCTCAAACCTTTCTGTTTACCTCTCCAGATTATTACGTAAAAAGGGTGTCTCCAAAACCCTTGCAGACAAATATTTTTCTATATATATAGACTCATGCAAAAACCCTAATCCTAATTCCAGCCTAAGTATAAGTCGGCCAACCAAAATACTTAACACCAAAACCCTAAACGTAAATATAACTACAACCATATAACTTAAATCAAATAAGTCACACAAACCATTTAAAAACACGTAATAATAAAAAAAATACCAATTAATCAAATAAATAAAATAAATCCCAATTGCACATAATTAAGTTAAAATAAATAAACAATATAAAACAAATACACAATACCAATTTTAAACAAGTAAAACAATTAACCACTTAGCCATATAATCATATTTAAATGCACACAAAACAAATAATCAATTTATCAATTTAAAATGCACATAAATAATTAATTAAATTCCCATTATATCCTTTTGAAAATGAGGGGTATTACAACCGAGTAGTTCACTGATCTAATAAATCAGACGATTCAAAGTAACTGATCAGATTGAGCATGTACTTGATCACATGGAGTTTCATATCTGATCTAACCGATTAGATCATGGAATCGAACTGATCAGATGAAGTTGAAAATTTTCAGATCTAACTGTATCATCCACTAATTGACATATTCCTCATTTTATGACTAGTGGGTATTTTCTCGTAGGCAATTGTCTAGCGTGATTCATTTCTCCCATACATCTGTCTAGTGTAATTCATTTCCTCAATAGAAATGTATACCATAAACTTCATTCAGATCCTATATATCTCTTCATCACTAAACACAACCGTTTATATATGTCTCTTCATCACTGGACACAACCATTTATATGTGTCTATTAATCACTGGACACATCCACTTCAAAAGGTTGCAATGGTTCATATTGAATATGTTATATCTGTTGGTTTTGAGTTGTATCTTTTCATCCCACAACCAACCAGTGATCACACATATTCAGTCAAAGGCATCTGTTAATGACTGATGAAACAATTTTTATTCAAAAATTCTAACAAATTCAAATAACAGCACATATAAAGAGAAGAGACAAGAATGTGTAGGCATAGAAGAACAAACATATAAAACCTATCACCAGCTTAACTACACAATTGAACTCGGTTATATCCAATTGTTTCACATAACGAAGACCTAATTTTAGAATTATTTACACATTGGAGTTGCTCTTATAACCTATAATAATTCGAAAAATTTATGTGACTAAATCAATGAACAAAAATGAAACAATAAATTTTACAAGTCCACCAAGCATACAGAAACAAATGAATCAAAGCTACCATATGAAAAAGTAAAGCAAACACATATGATCGTGTTAACTTGCCAAGCGAATTGCCATCCTCTTGCAAACGACACAACACAACTCAAGTTTCAAATCTATATAAAACATATGTAATAAATCAGTGGTGCAATCTAAAGACTTGCATCAACATGCATTAATCTTATGTACTGTATAATGCAAATGTATTTAGAAACATAAGATTTATTTATTTTAAAAAAAAAAAGGATAATGGAAAGGAATGTGGATGATATGAGGTTAATCTATTTATGTAATGGTGAATATTTATTAGCGACTTTATTTACTGAGATGATTGGAGAAGGATGGAAGAGAGAAGGAATGGATGAATCTTCTCGTGTTTAGTTAAAAGTAAGACTTTATTTACTGAGATGATTGGAGAAGGATGGAAGAGAGAAGGAATGGATGAACCTTCTCGTGTTTAGTTAAAAGTAAGGATTTTTTTTTTCTGGAAAGTCAAGCAAATTGTATGTATATATATATATATATATATATATGTATTTGTAAAGTGTGATATTATGCTTCAGCCCAAGCTGAAGGATGCTAGCCAGTCCCAAACAAGTAACTCAAGATTAGGAAAGCAAGCACAATAAGCGGCATTCATCAACGACATTAGGGATTTGTGCTTTGTGCCCTAACGAATCCATCTGAATGAATTATCAAATTTATAATCATTTAATTTTTATAAGTTTAATATAAAGGTTAAGTTGGTAATATTATAAAAGAAATATTTCTTCTATCCTATATTAAGTGTCCTCATTGATAATTGTGACTCACATTAACTTAATTTGGGATGAAAAGATTAGTATATTAATTTATGAAATAATTATTTTAATAGGAATAAAAACGGGTTTCACATATCCCGCAAATACTAATTCATAATGAGGGTGTGGTGCTATCCCAGTGGTAGGAGACCGCAGGAGATGTAGTTTTAGGGTCTTTCGCCCGTGTTAGAAACCTAATTTCCCTTCCCTTGTAACTCCCTAACCACACTAATCATTAATAACAGATCAAAAATATATATACTAATTCATAATTTCCTATCATCAACTGGGATTTTTACTTTGCACAATAGTCCCACCGATGCCTTGTACTGGACGGTCAAGATCATCCAACCGGATTAATGGGTCGTGATGTGGGCCAATGAATTGAGCTCCCGTCAAGATTTTCTCTCTGACTTCCACGAAAAAAACAAAAACAGAAGAGAAAAGAAAAAAAAACAGTGCAGTGACTTCGAAAATTTCAACTGATACACGAAGAATCACTCTCCATACCTGTAGCAATCAATACCATGACTTCTCTATGCTTCAGTCCCTTCACTCCATACCCACAAACCCACCCAAAAATTTCGCCTCTAAGACCCATCAAACCCACCATTTCCATATTCACTCCATACCCACAAACCCACCCAAGAATTCCCTTCCTCAGACCCATCAAACCCACCATTTCCATATCACCAAAGCTCCCAAAATCACCCACCATCAAATGTGTTGGTGGAGCTTCTGATCACCCCCCATCTGTGGCTCCCGCGAAACCCAGATGGGAAAACATGCTGTCCACTGCAGCCAGTCTGTACCCTATCTATGTCACAGTTGGAGGGATTGTTGCTTGCTTGAGACCATCTACTTTCTCATGGTTTGTGGAGAGAGGCCCAGCTTCATATAGCTTGTCACTTGGGTTCATCATGCTCGCAATGGGTCTCACATTGGAGCTCAAAGACTTGCTCAATTTGTTCATGCAAAGGCCTCTTGCTGTGAGTTCCTACAATACCCAATACGTAATAGGGTTCGAAATTACAATTTTATGTTTGGGTTACATATTATAAGGTGTGTTGTTTTTGAATTTTAATTTGGGTTCTATTGTGATTTGGGAAAATTTCCAATAATTGCTCATTTTATTGTAATTAATAGATAATTTTGCAACAGGATTCCTGTATTACATGTTGATAGTTGAACAATGTTTTGTATTTTTAATTTCCTCTTTAATTTTTTTATGTGAATGCCTGCTTATAATAACAATGTGCTAGCAATTCTATTCTACTTTTAGGTTAATCAATCTGTATTACCAGAACAAATATTTGATTGTTTGTTTGTGTGTGTGTGTGTGTGTTTTTTTTTTTTGCTGCTCAAGGAAATTTCATTAATTGAAATGTATATTTAAGCAATAAATTCTTAGTTGATATAATGTTGTTCTATCCTATTCTAGAGATGTGTGTGCCAACTGCCAAGCCCTTTGGCTGCCTTTTCTTTTTTCAGATTTAGTAAAAAATTTCCTTTGAACTTAGAAAAAATGTCACAAGTATTTCAAAAGAATGAGAGACGGAGAGTTTGATCAAAAAAATTATAACTTCTTCATTCTTCTAAACAATGGTTTACTTGAATACAAGTTACCCAAATTCATTACTTTCTTCTTTTTTGACCTAATCAGATACTTTTTGGATGCTTTGCTCAGTATTCAATCATGCCAACTTCTGCATTGATCATTAGCAAATTCTTGGTCCTCCCACCTTCTGAATCAGTTGGCTTAATACTGCTTGGTTGTTGCCCTGGGGGTACTGCCTCCAATGTGGTATGATCAATTTTTTAACTATGTTATTCTTTTTATTACAACATATTTATTGAATTTTTTTCGTATGTTATTCTTTTCATTACAACATAGTATTAAATATTTTTCTTTGATCTTTTTTCTTTCTAGATGCAGTTAATTTTTTAATTTCATTCTCTCAATATTCTGGGATGATTTAGTATGTAATAAAGTTGATAATAATTGGTCACAGAAGGGCCTCAATCTTTGACTTCAGTATGTTAATATGCGAAGTACCTGACATTATATTAGCTAGATGAGATAGGCTAAAGCTCGAGAAGGTGGGGAGTAGGGACTCAGAGGCAGTGCAATTTATTTGGAGATAAGATATGTATTGGGGTAGTATGAGTGTTGTTGTAAACAATTATCTTGAAAAGTTTGACCTTGACTCACTTGGTGATCAATTCTATGACCATTCCATAGTTATTATCACTGCTCCTCCCTTTCCAGGTTTTCTTCTTTTGCAGGTTGTAGGCTTTTAAGGGGGCATTCGGCCTGTATACTGATAAATTATTAGAAAAGTCTAGTAGCAAAATAATCAAATATCCAGAACGCAATGTATTGAACATTTAGTTTCCTAGTTACTAAAATTGGAGTTAATTTGAGTAACCTCATGGGAGCTAGGACTGAAGTTTTATGTCACCTTGGAGATTTCATAATTGGTTACAGGGGAACTTCTATGAGGAGCAGTTTCCTTGTCAGGTATATGTTGGACACTGACGCTTTTGAACACGGCCCGACACAACTTGGATGTTTCTATAGTTTTTATTTATTTTATTTTTACTTTTTAGTAATATCAGACCCAAGGTCTACACATCTTGGACATGTAATAAGATTTATTTTAGCATGGAAAAAAGTGTATGTATATTACATTTTATTAAAGTTTGATCATATTAAAGTAAAGGAATGGGAAGGTTCCATTGAAGGAGTGAGCATGCAAACTAGAGAGGACTCATCAAGTTATATGTGTGTGTGTGTGTGTGTATATATATATATATATATTTACATACGTATACAAGCACATCATCGTCTTCATCATCCTTGCCTTAATTCCAAACTAATGAGGTCGTCCGTAATCCATATGAATTCTCATTTTCATTCTATGGATCTTCTAGTCATTCCATCATCCATCTCAACATTCTAATTTCAACTATATGAACACATTGCTCTCTCTCTCTCTCTCCCAATCTCAACACTCTGTCTCGTGCAAGATTGCTGACCTAATAACTTTCCTAAAGAATTTATTTTTATTTTGTATCTTTTTTACTGTATATGTCACCACTAACTTGTCTCCATCTTGCGAGTGACATCATCATCTATTTTCCTATCTTTTCGTAGTATTGATCCTAAAGATCGAAAGGGTTTATATTGAGTAATCATTGGATCTTGGGTCATTATTTTTATATTATCATTTTTGAAACTTTATTAAATTTACATTCCATGTATTCTGCTTTAGTCTGAATAATTCTTAACCCTTTTGCTTCTAATGTATTTTTTTCCATATTTCTGATTTTGTTTCTAAGACATCCTTAGATGTATCCAATAGCATTACGTCTTCAACAAACAACATGCACCCTAAGTTTCTTTTTGCATATAGTTTGTTATATGATCTAAGGCTATTGTTAATAGGTATGAGCTTAGTATTGATTCTTCATGTAGTCACAGTTTTATAGAAATATCTGTAGTTTCTTCGCATATGGTACGAGCTCTAATCTTTGTCTTGTTTTACATATCTTGAATGTTAACAATCATCTACTCTAAAAGCTTAAGCTGTTAGAGAGGGTGTAACTTTAATTTTAAATCTTTCAACATGCCCCTCATGTGTGGCCTTCATTTTGGTCCAACACGGTGCTTCAATTTTAATTATTAGGGTGTCGGTGAGTTTGAACACAAGACCTTACTTATTCTGATACCATATTAGCTACCATCTACTCTAAAAGCTTAAGCTGTTAGAGAGGGTGTAACTTTAATATTTAAATCCTTCAACACTAAACGATATTTATGTTTTAAAGAGATTATTTTATTATTATTATTTTTTTTTCTTGAATGGGTTTGTGTGTTTATAAATATGAGAGAAATATAATTACAAGATATATAGGGCACAAACCCTCAAGAAAGGTAGCATGGAATGGAAAAAGTCCATTTCCAATGCAACCAGAACATCAACATCATGAATAACAAAAAATATATCAAGAATCAAATAAGACCAAGAGGTCTACTAAATTGAGACTTAGGGAATGTAGCACATCCCATAGGATAACAGTAGCAGACTGCTTTGGCAGTGCCATGTTGTAGTGCATCATTTCTCTGCAACCAGATTCTCCAAATAGTGTGATTGAACACAGAACACCAAACCTTAGCTTTGAAGGTTTGACCCTGAGTATGAAGCAAGAACCGATCAGTTAGATCACTGAAAGAATGCACACTAGGAAGGGAAATCCCAAGCCAATCAAACAAAGATACTCCAGACATTCTTGGCAAAGGCACAAGATCAGAACAAATGCTCATTTTGATCCTCTTCAGCCTAGCAAATTTTGGCATATGGCAGAAAGGCACATACCTCTCCTTCTGAGATTAAAGAATGAGAGATTCTTATTATGTAAAATTATTGTAACCAGCACAGCTACTCTTGGTCTACAATGTTTCCAACACAGAGAAGACCATCTGACAACTAGCCCCTAAGAAAAAGATACATTCCAAACAGACTTCATAGAGAACTGGCCATGATTCCAGGTGATTTCATCCTTGCGTGAGAACAGCTGAATACTTTCCACAGTCTGTAACAAAGCAGGAAGATCAGCAGGAGGGTTCCATGCACCATTGACTAGAACAGATTCAACCAACAAACCTTTGTCCAGTCTTCTGAAGCAATTCAAACCAAACTTTCGAAGTAGAGAAACACCCTCACACCATATGCCTTGGTACTCTGTCATATGCCTTCTCTAAGTTTATGCAAACCATCTTTGGATCTTTTGTTTATTTCTACAATCTTCTATTAATTCTCTAATTAAATAAATGCCTTCATAATGGATCTCCCTGGCATAAATTTAAATTGGGTAAAAGATACTGTGGATTCATTTCTTAATCTTTTTTAAATGACCCTTTCCCATGATAGAGGGTCATGTTTGACGATTTTCGTGACTATGTTGACTTTCCAGGATTTCATTTTATTTTTTTTCCGTAGTTGGTACTCACACACACATGCGTCCACTGAGGCTCGAACCTCCTGGGCCATTGGCCCATTGGTGATTTCGTTTTATTTTACCTTGTACCTTGTACCTTGTACCTTTTATCTTTTTTAGTTTACCTTTTAAAATTGATTTGTCATTTTATATTATTGACGATATTATGGCCTTACAACTTTTCTTATACAAAATATCCTCTTTCATTGATATCGACAGACGCTTTAATTATAATAGACTCACATGATTTGAAGTCCTATATACATATATATGTATGTTTTTTGATAAGTAAAGTCCATTTTATATTTGCTAAACCTCTGAATCTGATAAGCATCAAGGCTTCTTGGGAAAAGAAAAAAAAAAAAAAAAAAAAAAAAAAAAAAAAAAGCAAAATAAAGAAAAAAGAAAAGAAAAAAATTTGGTTCTTGTATAATCCTGCAATTTTCAAGAAACAGATGATATTATGTTGTAGGTCATTGAAATTTAATACAGTTGAGTATTATATTAGAACATCCAAACGCAAGGTATCAATGTTCACAAACCCCCATTCATTGCTTTTTGTGAAATAGTCTTACAGGTGACCTTAATTGGTCGAGGGGATGTTCCGTTATCTATTGTAATGACAATCTGCACCACCCTTGGAGCAGTGTTGCTCACTCCTATTTTAACCAAGATTCTGGCAGGAACATATGTTCCTGTGGATGCTGTTCAACTTTCCATCAGCACTTTGCAGGTAAATTTAAATTTATACCTGAAACTTTTCAGTGTACTGTTTTAAAATATACTATTTCTGAGGTATGATGACATTCTTTGTTTCCTGTCAAGGTGGTTGTTGCTCCAATTCTGCTAGGTTCTTATGCACAGAGCACATTTCCTGGAGCAGTGAAAGTTGTGACGCCTTTTGCACCACTGCTTGCTGTTCTAGCTTCATCACTGCTTGCATGCAGGTTTTGATCCTATACACTTTGATTTGTTCTCATAGAAAATGGTGCTTTTGGATATTATGTGTGTGTGTGTGTATATATATATATATATGATTAATTTCTTTCTCTTTTGGCTGTTCTCAGCGTATTCTCAGAAAATGTTGTTCGTCTGAAATCCTCTATGCTTAGTGCATCATTGTCATCTGGATTGTCCCCTCTCCATCGTGCTCAAGCTATATTTTCTGGTGAACTGGGTGTTATAATACTTTCTGTGCTGTTGTTGCATTTTGCTGGATTCTTTGTGGGGTATGGTTTCCCTTCCATTTTTTTTTTCCCCTCTTGTTACTTTAATCTGGTAAGGCACATTTTTATACTTTGAGAGATTTCTTTGATTTTTTTAGTAGACTATGAGGTTGATCACTTGATTACCTACACAATCTGTAATCCTTTCTTTTACTTTCCTGTGTTACACTAAATGTGCTATGACATACCTCAATGGAAGCTGAAATCAATACTGGTTTGGGTTTACCACCAAGAAACAACCACTCCATTTGGATTCAAATGAATGAATTTAGGTTCAAGTATTTAGTATAGTTTAAATTAAAATTTAATATTTGAAATTTCAATTTTAACAATATCTATGATTGATTTGGTAGGGGCATATGTGTGGATAGCAAATAACAAGGTACAAAAGGATTATTTGAAATCCATTCTGACGAGGATTTTAGCTGAACAAGAATTTAATAAACCGTCTCTGATTGCAACTTCAATTTCATTGAAGCTCAAATCTGTTGAATTCAAATCCATTCATTTATCCAAATGAATCATTCCAATTAAATGAACCTGTAGTTTCTCAATACCATGCTCTAGTCCTTTGTTTTGCTTTCAGACTTCTTTTTGATCTAGCATTAATGAAGATGCAGTACTTATATAAGGTGCATTGCTTTACCTATGCATTCTGAATTTCACTATAAGAATCTGCAGCTGTTTATTTATTTTTTGATAGGTAAGATTTTCACAAACGCACTATTACCCCCCTGGGGACTTGAAATCTCAACCTCTGATGTAGGAGGAAGAGGAGATATCACCTGAGCTGAAGTGTTGATGATACAACTATTCAAATTGTACAAGGCTTTTTCTTCCATTAAAACCCTTGTGCCCATAAATTGTTATCTAAACAATGAAAATCCTATTAATCTTCCTTCTATTTTCCGTAAGACCCTTTACTTGGTCAGTTTGTTTCTTTAACAGTACACTGAACTATGTGTCACGCACGCCCAAGGACATTTTTTCTTGAATAAGACTTGGGTTGGCAATTTTTGTTGATTAAAGGTAGAGTCTGTAATTTTGTTTCTTATTTCTAGATTAATAATTTGAAAAGATAGTGTCATGATTAGTTACCTCTTGGACAAGGTTGAAGACAAAATTGAAAGCGTAATATTCTACATCAAAGGTAAAAAAGTAATTTGACACATTGGATGCACTCGCCAAAATTAGGTTTCATGAATACATGCATTAGGGTTTCAAATATTTCACGATTTAATATGATTCATAAAACGCCTTTAGATATGCATGCAAGTGTTTTGGGAACTTCTTAAATTGTTTTTTTTTCTTTTTCTTCTTTTAGTACAAAATCTGCAGAGTGATTCGGTTGATCAATCTGTTGATTTAAGCTCTCTGAATCTGGTTCGACTGATCAACCAGTTTCCGATCTATCGATATAGAGGCAAGTTAGAAGTACAGAGAGAATAGGATTTCCAGTGTTCTAATCTGAAAAGGAAACTGGGATCCAGAGTAGATGTTATACACAAAAATAGAGCATACACAGGGCATATAGAGAGCATGTTTGTGTATTCTTGCATTAGAATTGGTGAGTTTGCTCCTAGTGGGTTGACATCATCACTTTGGAGATATACGGATAAGTTCAATTCCAATAACTAATCAATTCATCAAGAGATTGGTTTGGACGCCTAGTTGGCTTAAAATTGAATTACTGGTTGGGGAGGCAGATTCGTATGCTGTGTGCACATAATCCAAAAAATAAGAAAAAATAACCTATATAAGTAGTGATGAAAACTAATATGAAAAAAAGAAAAGAAAAAATAGAGAAGAGGAAGTGATAAATTACTGCTAAAAAATAAGTAAAGAAAAAACAATTTTCAAGAATTAGAGTTTATTCAACAATTGTTTCAATTTTTAAAAAATTCAATTTTTGAAAAAAACAATAATTTGATTACTTAGATTCCACTTTGAGAAAAAATATGTCATTATTACCTTGATAAAAGATTAAGAGAAAAAAATGTAATAATTTAACTAAACAATTTTAAAAAACTTGAACAAAACACATTATATTTTATTTACTTATACAAGCAAGTAAATATAGAATTTGTCATCTAGCAAGTGGCAAACTAAAAATATTAGCATATATAATAATATCATTGTTGTTGGCATTCTTTCTTTTATTTTTTATTTTTAATTATAGTAAGTTTGTTGTTGGGATTCTTGTCATCTTATTTTCGCAATAGTTTTACTTTTTTTTTTTTTTTTTTTCTACTTCTCAATACTCTAGATGATTGACAAGGAAGGATAATGCATTTTTTTTTTAAATGTGAAACATTAGTGTAATTTTTATAAATGTTAAAGAAATTAAGATATATGGTTGTAAGAACTACCATAACAATGAACTTATATTTTTTTTCTTACCGTAAGAACTTTGAAATGTACGCTAAAATGGTTGGCATTGAAATTTTTTATAAGTTTTGAGAGGATTAAATTATTTTTATTTCTAAACTCCTTAACTTGGGACAAAAAGCAAAGATGGTGATGATAATGAAAATCATAAATATGGAGTCCACCCCTAGATGGTGGGGTATGACAAAGGGGTTATGATTGGGGTTATTAAAGATGAACAGGGACAAAAGCAGCGGAGTTTGGGTTTGACGACAGTGCGTTTTGATTGTAGGGGTATTTTAGGGGTTGATGAAATCATGAACAGCGGATGGTTGATTTGAAGTGGGATCAGGATCGGGTGTAGGTCCAATATGCTATGTGATACCGATCTGATGTTTCCTAGGCACCAGGGCCATGGTCTTACCAACTTGAGCCAACCCCTTGGGTTTTACTAAGACTCTGGGTTTTTTTTGGTTGAGGTGAGCATAAACCCTAAAAATACAAAAATACTAAAAATAACCTAAACTAAACATTATCAAAAATGATAATAATCATAAATAGGTAACCTTAATTTACAAAACTCCCTAATTATATTTATCTTTTTTTCTGCTCGAATAGTAGGTGCAAGTCGTATGCAATTCAAGGCTTCAAGCTCTTGGGTTGTCGTGGTCTTCATCATTGGGTAGTCAAATGGTCTATGTATTCTATATATATGGAATACACAAAATTGAGTGTTTAAAAGCTTGGGATGATCATCTCACTAAAATTCACATTATCATACTTTCCTTGGGTCTTTGTGATATGCTCCATTTCATGTTGCCTACTAGTTCTATACTTATTGATCTTTTTTCCTGTCATCTCTTTCTAATTTCCCAAGTGATTTATAAGTACAGATGAAGTTAGTGATATATGATGAGTAAACTTAGAGGCCTTTTCCAGTACCATCAGTGTGATATAATATATATAACTATGACGATACTTATATTTAATATTTTAGTTACCAAGGGGCTTATAGCCTAGTGGTATCTCATCTACCTTCCAAAGTGGATGGTGAGGGTTCAAGTCCCCATGGGGCCAATGGGTGCATGAATTTCTTGCCAATGAAAAAATATATATTGGAGATAAATATACATATAACACACAATTACATATATATTAACTTATGTCCTCTCTAGACATAGAAGCTTCCTGAGTAATTATTTAAACAGGATCCTTAATGGTAAATTTAGATATCACAGGTGCAAGTATACTAACTTCATACACGCATCAAATACAAAATTGACTTCCCAGTATGTTGTTGATCTGTGAAGAGTGCGATGTTGTGGCCCAAATTTGGTGTCGGGTCGCATCTGACCCTTTTTTTGCTTGCAGTCTTGGACTCTAATTGGTACTCTCTTGTAGCCCGATATATAAGGGTGTTTAAGATTTGGAGTACAATATTGAGAGACACAAAAAATCGCAGAAAAAGAGGGTGAGAGTGAGAGCTAGGGTTTGGGACTGAAACTTGTAATCTCTAAATTTTCGCATACTGAAAACTTCCGCCGGATCTTCACGGTGGATGTAGGCTTTGCCGAACCACGCTAAATCGTTGTGTTCTTTGTGTGTGGTGTGTTTACTTTCTGTTGTGTTTCGTGATTGTTGATTGGGTTCGCTGCATTTGTCATAACAAAGAGCATGTCACCGAAGGGGGCTGTTGTATAAGAAAGCAAGATGCCTAGCTAACAATAATATTTGTGGGAGCTAGGAAGCACGAACACGCCAAAATAGGCGAAGAATCCGTGTCGGACACGGACACTCGTCGAACACGTCCCGACACGCGTCGGACACACCAAAAAACGTGTTTGGAATTTTTTTTTATTTTTGGACATGACACTGACACGGACACGGACACGGAGACGTGTCTGGAATTTTTTTTTTTTTTTTTTAATTTTTAATGCTGATATGTTCTGTTTTTTATATGTACTACCTTTTTGGTATTGTAAATGGTAAAAGTCCAAGGTCAAATGATGGATGGGAAGATATGTGAGTACACTGACTTGTTTTTGTATTTTTTTTGGGGACTAGCCTTTAGGTTTTTGTGAATGTTAAGTGCTAACAGTAAAGTCCTAAATGTTAAATAGTCATGAATGTTAATAGTCCTTTCTGTCTATGCTTTTGTATTTGGAGTAAAGTTGCAATGATGATTAAATGATACTAGTTATTATTCTAATTCTTGTTTTTTATTTGGTTTTATAACTATGCAACATTGTTCTTTTATAGTTTATTAGTTATGAGTTATGATTTGTGTTTTTTTTTCATTGTGAGGTTGATAAAAAATAGTCACACGGTAATTTTTAAAGTACTACATCACACACACACATATATATATATACCATTCGCCGTGTCCCCGCCGTGTCCGTGTCCTAATTTTCTTGGATTTGCCGTGTCGCCGTGTCCGTGTCGTGTCGTATCCGTGTCCGCGTTTCTTAGTGTGGGAGTAAATAGCTACCAAATTTTGAATGCTTTGAGTTTGATGCTTGATTAGCACATGATGTCACTGTTCTTAAAATATTTTGCAAGATAGGTTAATATCTAGGATCAAAGTGACATTTCTTTCATTGTTCATTCTCTCTGTTGTTCTTCCTCTTTCACTAGTGAAGTTAGATGTAGACAGATTACCACAAGTGGTGCTTCCATAAATGTGAGTTGATTTTGACATAGATAGATTACTAGAATTATTGAGATGTGAATTAATTGTGGCAGAAGGGATTTTTGTGATATAATATAATGTTGTAAAATATTGGGTCATTATTTTCAGGTACATATCAGCAGCTATTTCAGGATTTAAAGAACCCCAACGGCGAGCAATATCAATTGAGGTAATTGATCTTCTAGATTCAATGAAGCTTTAAATTGGTTGACAAATCAGTTTGAACCCTAATCAAAAGTGTAAAAAGAATTTAATGTTTCAATATCTTTTGCTTAAAATTTGGTTAAGTTTTCCGTGAGTTTTGACTTGATAAAACAGCAGACATATTGAAATCAAAATGTTATTTCAAAATTGTGTCAATTTGACCTTTATCGTGGGAAACGTTAGTCTGTCACTGACTCGCTGTGTTTCACTTCCTTGCAGGTTGGTATGCAAAATTCTTCATTAGGTGTGGTTTTGGCGACCTCTCATTTCACTTCGCCAATGGTTGCATTACCTCCTGCAATGTCGGCTGTGATTATGAATATCATGGGAAGCAGTTTGGGTTTCATTTGGAGATACATTGATCCTTCAAATCCGAAAGAAAGTAGTCCTGAAGTTGACGATCAGCGACAGTGAGACCCTGTCCCATTTTATTGTTGATTTCTACGAGTGAGCAGCAGGCAGGGTTGAACCTTAATACTTGAGACAAGTAAATTTTCATTAAATTAAATAGAATTTTATAATCAACTAATTACTTTAAAATACTATATTAAGATTCTAATAATAATTCTTTAGAACTTGAGTAATTTGCAATGTAGTGATTCTAGCCAGTACTTGCAATTTTTCTCTCCCTCTCCTTTCCTTTTATATCTCCTCACCTCTTACCCTATTCCTCTTTCTTGATGAACACGTCTGGGATCCGGCCCATTTCTGATCTGGGCCGGTCTTGACCTTCTGTTTCTGTTGATGATTGGCCTTTGTCCTTTTCTTTGGGCTGACCTGTGTGTGGCCCAGATGACTCTTCCTGCCACGTGTAGCCATTTGGGTGGTACATGTGCTAATGAACCATTGGAGGTTATTTTGACTCTTCAGGAGTGCCTAAAATTAGTTCCGGATCATCTCAGAATCAATAGGGATTGATTTAGGGGAGGACCATGGCCATTGCACCTTGGGGGTACCCATTTTTCAGCTTACAGGAAGTTTCCACCGGCTGGTGTATATTAGCCGGCTGATAGCCCATTTTTAGGCTTGGCAGTGAGTTTGCATCGCTGGGGGCATGTTTTGGTCAGCTAACCCTCACATCAGCCAGATGAAACAGCACCTTCGGCTGGCTGATGGATAGTTGTCGGCCGACCAAATCTCTTTTTTATCAACTGGGACGGTTTTGACACACCAAATTTTAACGGCCATAACTCACTCATCTTAGATACAAATTAGGTTATTCTTATGCTCAAATTGAATGTCTTGAAGTCAGCCTTCCAATGGTACCAACCTCATTCGAATACTTCAACCACAGTGAGAGATATAACTGTTTTAGTGAGGCTTGGTCATGATATCTCCAAATTGGACGAAATCATTCCTCTTGGGTTTAGAACCTTATAGGATGTCTCCAAGTGTTTAGTATGACCTAAATGGACTTCGATTCATCATTCATGCTCACATTAGCCATGCGAGCTAATGCGGGTTTTAGCTTCCGCATTTCAAACTGTGCATCGGGTCCGTCTGAGTTTTACCCATTTATGCACCGATTTATGGAATTTGAGGCGTGACACTAGAGGCATGATACTACCACTTGGATCTGTAACCTACGTATTGATGCTCACGATCTCAATAGCAATATTGGTAAATTGGAGGAGATTTCTTGAAAAGTATTTAGTACCCATTTCGGTTAACTCTCCATCATCCTTCTTTGGTTGAATGGCATGTATTTTTTTTTACGTTGGCTCGTTTTTCAATATCGAATTCCCTTTTATGGATTTATAACTATCAATTACAAAAAAATCTATTATTACATGTAAATACTCAATAGCCAAGTAGGTTTACAAAGTGGATCTTAGTCTGATGAATTGCTCTCTTAGGTTTAACTCAAACCTTGCTACTGATATTTATCTCCAAAATAATTGGAGACCTTTTTACACACACACAAAGGGTTTACTTTTTACTAACATAGTTTACCTTATGTTTTTCTCTAGATGCCTGTTTCACTCCGAGTATCATAGATTGTGTCAAGGAAATGAATGCATTTTCATACTATGAAGTTTTAAGTAAGTTTCCGGTAACAAAACCTGATTGATGTGGTAATTAATTAAGATAAATGTCTAAGAAAGAATATCTATTCTTTTAAAATGCTAACAATAATTTTTGTTGGACTCTATTTCACGCAGCAAAAACCGATTAGCTTGTGTTACCCTCCAACAGTTATATTGGGTCCTACCTACTTGCATAATCCAACTAGGAATTTGGTCCATATTATTAAATGTGTTTTAAAAAAGCAAAAAAATGCTATCAACAATTTGTTGGTTTGATGATTACGTACACTTCATTAAATCCACGTAGAATTGGGTCCACATTTTAAAAATATATATATATTAGAAAACAATGCAATTTTTTCATTATTATTATTTATTTATTATTGAAGCCATCAACAATTTGCTGGCTTACCCTTCATTCTGTGTGTCTATCTTATTGAAGTCATCAACAATTTGTTGGTTTGATGATTTCTTACACTACATTAAAAAATGACCAAATCCCATTAATTACATAAACTCTCAAAGTCTTAAAAAAGAAACAATGTATTTAAACAGGGTGGGTCCAATACCAAATGACCGAAAAAAAGAAAAAAAGAAAAAAAGAAAAAAAGAGCAAAACTAACGAACCTAGTTATATTTCACACATTTATCACATAATTCACACAATCTCTGAACACACTTCATGCATCAACAACTTTGGTGGAATTGAATCGCAATTCTCTCAAAATGAAATGTCCATCATGTCCACTACCAAGTTCTCCATCATCACAGCCTCCATTTCTCCTGAGCACTGCATCTTTAACCGTAGCTTCTCTGCAATTTTTTTTCCATTTGATCGTCAGAACGTTACTTAATGGACAATTTAACCTAACTCAAGCACACACCCCAAAAAATGATAATAATAATAATAATAATAAAAGTAGTCAAATCTATTTCATTGTTCTTAATTACAAGAATAAGAAACTATACTAAAATAATTACCCTACTTCTGTTAGACTGGGTTTTGAAGTGAAATGACCAAAATACCCCCGCATGCCAACACTAATGTATAGATCGACTTATTCACAGCATATATATGCACTGCTGCATTTATGCCATTTGTAAATATGGTAAACTAGTGTGCTAAAAATGGTATATCAGTCAATCACCTTTGCTAAAATTTGTGAATAAAATTATGCATTGATGTTAATGCTGAAAGAAAGTTGTGAAATGGTGCCAAGTCATATGAAGAAGTTAAGCAATGAGGCACGTGTTTGAGAATGTGACTACTGTAAGTTACAAAAAAATGTGGCTGAAAGTTAGCTTCAAATTCTAGAAGTCAAGATAGAGAAAGAACATATATGAACAATGTTTTTTCTCACCTTCGTAAATACTTTTTCTAACTTGCCAAGAGTCTGTAGTCCAGTGGCACTTTCTTGCCTTCAAACCTAGAAGGTCAAAGGTTTAAGTCTCCACCGGACGCTATAAGTAGAAAAGTTTCTTACCTGAAAATAGAGAGAGACAGAAAAGGGGACATGCTTGGTTCAGTTTCATAAGAACAGATTTCTGTTTTTCTGAAAACTGTATAATATCTACTTGGTTGACAGTTTCTGAGAACTGTTTTCTGATAAAAGACCTCTTTTCAAATAAAAAAAAAAAACCGAAAAAACTACCTTTTTATTTTGATTCCAATGAATTAGTTATGTAGATTTTTTTTTTTTTTTTTTTTTTTTTTTTTTTTTTTTTTTTTTTTTTTAGGACTTCAACATAAATATATAACAAGAACTGAAGTGGAGGATAGAGGATGAGAAATTAACCTACCATAGAAGGAGGAAGTTGTTTGGTTGATATTGGGAGTAGGTGAGTTGTTGAGTACTGGGCATGAATAGAGTGGAAGAGGAGGGAGGTTTTGGCAGTTGCAGATTTCAATCATGTATCCATCTGGGTCGTGGAAGAAGAGCTGATCCACCGTCACGCCACCTTCCTTCACCACCGCCGTCACGTACTCGATCTTCATCTCTCTCAAATTCTGCATTATGAGTTCCACGTCCGAGCATTGGAAGGAAATGTGGTTGTTTTTTGGATTAATTACGCCATTCTTCGTCGGAATATTGTCCGCTTCGAGCAAGTGGATGCCAATTCCATGGTTGAACAACCTGAAAAATGTATCAAATTTTAGTTCATTTTAGCTTATTATATTTTTTGTCAAAAATAAAAAAATCGTGAGCAGACGTCATTGCTATCATCATCATCTTTCTTGACCTAATTTTATATGATTTGTGGCCAATTACATGCATTCAGAGTTCACAAACTATTTGAGAGTTTAAAATTAGAAATGCGTGAAAAAAAAAAAAAAAAGAAAAAAAAAACCTTCTAACATAATTGAAACTACTAGTTAACTTTGATTCATAGGCTAACCAACGGACCAGTGGTCTAACTTTTCTTCAATTTCATCAATTCCAATTCTAAGATTTCAATTTCATGCCGCCAAATATAACCTTGTATCATTTTGGATTAAAGATAAAAATTATGTTACATATGGCAGTCTATCGTTAGAACTTTTTAGACTGTTATTTTTATCAAATCAACATTGGCTATTATATATATATATATATATATATATATATATATAAATGGTACTAATATTGTAAACATCTCTACCAACCCTCATTGCTTTTTATTGAATCAACGTACACAAATCTGTATGTTTGTGTGTGAAAAAAAAAACCTTCTAACATAATTGAAACTACTAGTTAACTTTGATTCATAGGCTAACCAACGGACCAGTGGTCTAACTTTTCTTCAATTTCATCAATTCCAATTCTAAGATTTCAATTTCATGCCGCCAAATATAACCTTGTATCATTTTGGATTAAAGATAAAAATTATGTTACATATGGCAGTCTATCGTTAGAACTTTTTAGACTGTTATTTTTATCAAATCAACATTGGCTATTATATATATATATATATATATATATATAAATGGTACTAATATTGTAAACATCTCTACCAACCCTCATTGCTTTTTATTGAATCAACGTACACAAATCTGTATGTTTGTGTGTGTGTATATATATATATAATTATATAACAGGAGAATCATACAAGATTAGTGTGAACTTCTTTTCAATCTAGGGAAAAGATTTGCGGCTCATGGTTTGAGAAGTTTGCTGCTCCACCAATTCTCATAGAATTCATTTCAAGGAAAAGGTATTGAATACCTCAAGCATAGTACAATATAAAATGCTATATTTTCAATGAATAAAGTGTTGATACGAATTTACGATTCAGAGTGGGTGGTCTTTTCTAACAGAAGTGATGACGGGCTCAGCTGAGTGTGAAAAAAGCTCCTGACTCTAAATGATGCATGATTTTGCATCAATATAAAAAAAGAAACATGAAATGAACTTCTTAGAACTAAAATTATTTATTTATAATTTCATGATAACAAATCTAGCATGAGTGTTTTTTTTCTTTCTTTTTTCGTTTTTCCCTTTGGAAAGGAAAATGCAATGGACTTATTGCAGTTAGAAAAAGAGGGTGGACATACCAAGCTCCTTCAAAGTCGAAGGAAGAAGGGCGTTTGATGAGGACGAAACCCAATACATCCTCGTAGAATCTAACGGATCTGCTAACGGATTTGCAAACGAAGGATACATGATTTAACGACAGAAAAGGCAGCTTCTGTTCCTTTGATGGCCATCTCCCCATCATCTCCTCCTCCACTTCTCCTCCATTCAAACTGTCTCTCTTCATCTGTGTGTGTGTGTGTGTGTGTGTATATATATGAGTGTGTTTGTATGTTTTCTGATATGTTTTGTGTAGGCGGGGATGGAGCAGGACACTAGGTTATGTAAGACGGGATCTCGGTAGAGAGAATGTACACAATGTAGAGAGAGAGAAATAGACATGAAGGGAGTAAGCAGGACACTAGCTTATATAAGACGGGATCTCTATAGAAAGAGAATATACACAATGTAGAGAGAGAAATAGACATGAAGGCAGTACGTATAAAGATGGTGGGATAAAGAGTAATACTATGACGAGGTCAACCTTAAGATAGATGTGATAAGTTCTCTCTCTATTTTTACTTTTTTATAAAATAGGTAAAATTATTAAAATAAAATCATCTCAAATAATTTTATTTTATGGTATTTTTAGCTTTATATTTTTGTTTTACTCTTGAGTTTTACCTTTTTCACATCGAGGGTTGTGCACAGTGTAGTAGTTTATCAGTGCCTTTTATTTTTACCCACGACACACTCGATTACAAGATCACCACAATCACACTTCTAATAATGCCTTTTATTTTCGTCCACGGCACACCCGCCTACAAGATCGCCACAATCACACTTCCAACTAAGTCAGATTACATATTGTTCGCTTTGAACGCCAGCGCACACAATTTTACTCTTAAATTTTACCCCCAAAATATCTCTTACTAATAGGGTGTACAAATATCACATATATAGCATATCCCCTTTCCACACCCATACAAGCCCAGTACGGTAACTTACTGCCATACTGCTAGTGTCTCTTGCTCTCGCCCATAGAGCCCCCCCCCCCCCCCTATCTCTTGCTCTCGCCCATAGAGCCCCCCCCGCCGGTAAATGCCTTGTGATGATGCACTAATTTTTGTGTCAATCTAAAGGAGAGTTTATAACAACTATTATGGAACCCAACTCATACTAACATTACTCTTGGGATAAATCATAATTGTCCACCTCAAACCCACGTAATAAACACATAACATAAACCCTATGATTGCAATTTTCAACTAGTTAATGGCATCTTATCCATACCCTTTTACTTGTCGCTGTGTGTATAATTTCTCCTTGGACGTTTGACTTGTTTGGATCTTAATGCTTCGCACTATTTTGTCCTTTTACATTGATTACGTGTTAAGTTCTATAAAATTCTAATTAAGACAACAAAGTCCCACGTTTGGTAAATATTTCCAACTAAAAACTTAATTCCGCTTGTCAACAATTTTTTTCCCACTATACCATTTTATTATTGAATATTTAATGTCTTTTTTATTAAAATAAATTGTGAAAAATTGTACAATTTCGATGACATATTCTCAAATATAAATCTTTCTAATTCATAATTAAAATTACTTGTTTAATATATATATATATATATATATATATATATATATATATATATATATGAAGTAGAAAAGTTTAAAATAAATTAAGTCATTCCTTGAATTATCATGAATATATCACATGAAAAAATTAATATTTATAAACATTTCTTTTACAGATATATTAAGTTTCATTGTAGATAATTAAGTCTAAATAATTATTTAATCATTTTAGAAAATTGCTAAGTTTGGTGGTGGTTACAACTATGTGCTTTTTAGGACTTATTAGTCATTAGAATTATAAAGTAAGACTAATTTTTTATTTTTCCTTTCTTGTTTTAGTCAAATTAGCACAAAAATTTTCTTCATTTCCCTTTGTAATTTTCAGGAAGGAAAATTGGTATTTTTGTCTCACAACTAGCTAATATATATATTCTTATATATACATGAATATATTTGCATAAAGAATACCTACTATTTAGGAATGGAAAAATGGAGAAAAAATTGCTTGAACAATAAAGAAAACATGAGTAGTTTGATATGGACAAGCATATTGCTTAATTCTTCTTGCATTTTCCAACCAATAAATTTTAATGGCACTTATTTGTCAGATCAAGTTATTTATTTAAAAATATATATATAATTGTTGATAAAGTTTGCTTAGTCAAGTTTGAGAGACACGAGATTTAATTAAGATCCTTACACAACTACTAGAATTATATAGGTTTATTGATGTCAGAAGAAATAAATGTATGGATTATGTGCGTATGGGCGTGGGAAGTGGAGGAAAAGAATAGTAAAATGTGGGGAAAAAATTGTCTATATATGTGTGTATTGTGATGAAAGGAGTATCCCAAAATAAAGTAGTAATACAAAAGCTCTCCACTTTTAGACTCATCTCTTCTGCTCTTTTGTTCTTGCTATAGATATATTTTGTTCTATATTTATAAAAATTCATACATACTACATCACCTTTTCAGCCGACATCTATTTAATACATTTTCCCCTTTTGAAATATCAAAATTGGCCATTTAATATTTTAAAGATCCACATATTTAGTTTAAGAAAGGTTTAAGAGTAAAAGATATTGCAAAAAATATACAATTTATTTAAATTGATTTTTTAAATGGAATATGAATTTTGGAATCCAAAAATGAAAAGGTGATAGGTTAAGAATTTTCAGACGAAAAGAGTACTTATAACAAAAAGGATTGTCTCGTACCTAGACATGCTTTAGTTTAATAAATTTAATTTAATTTTAAGTAGAAAAATGATTCTTAAGCTGACTTGGCATAAACTGACTCTCCAAAATACCCTTGCAAGAGAGTTAGGTTATGCCGATTAGACTTTTTTTTTTTTTTTTTTTTTTTTTGTCATAATTAGGCTTATTCAACATTTTTCAATTATGTAATGACCCTTAACAAACATAAATTTAATTTTCAGAAAGTTGCTTCTAAGGACCTATAAGGATTGAAAATGGCATTGTTCATGCTGTCTGGCGTATAAGGATTAGAAATTTCAGTATACCATCTAACAACCAATATGAATAGTTAGAGATGGACGTGTGTGTGTGTGTGCGTGTGTGTATACATGCACCAATTCATTATTCCACTTCTCAATTGCTTCTTTCTTTAATACAACTGCACAACACATATATATTGATCATCAAGTGAGTGGTTGCTGTGGGGGCATATATATATTGCTTAATTCTTCTTGCATTTTCCAACCCATAAATTTATTTGAATATTATTTTTTCAATTGTTGATAAAGTTTGCTTAGCCATTTTTGAGAGACACAAGATTTAATTAAGATTCTTATGCAAATACTATAATTATATATTCTTTGAATGGTTCAATCATCTCACTCACTTCGTCATTTCAGATCAGCTCATATATATATATATATAGACACATACAATCACACGCATACATACATATATTTTAATCTTCCAATCCAAATACGTAACTTGGTGTTGGCCTTTTGAATTCATCATATACATTATATGTGTAAAATAAGAGTGCATCATATATCATAACGTGTATTATCTATTTCGATGTGTTCCTTTCATCCACCACTCTCAACATCATCTATTAATATAATTTCTTAAGTCGATCTTTCTTGCAACTTATAAGTAAGATTCAGTCGTATTAAACTCACCAAAACCTCTTATAATAATGAGCTCTGGTCTTCTAATACCCACACCAGAGCACAGTATATAATACATAATGAATTAGGAAGTACAGATACTTATAGAAGATCGACATGCCCATCTCAAATACAAGTGGGATATCAAGTAGGCCATAGGTCTTCCATTGTTTACCCTTTTCAACACCCCAAGGCTATGTTTGGTACAATGGGAAAAAAAAAACAGAAAAAAGGACAACATAAGGTAGGAGAGAAAAGAAAAGAAAAGAAAGGAAGGGAGCCGGTTTGGTTGATTAATGAATAAAAAGAAACTATTTTAATGAATTTACTATCAAACTTTTTTCTATAAATTTTGTTTTTAAAAGATAAGGACAAATTTGCTATTAATAAAGTTTCATAGCATTTTATTCCTTTAAGTTTCATTTCCTCCCATTTTTTGAAAGGATAACAAAATCAACAAGTCATTCCTAATTTGTATCCTTCCTAACCCCTCTATTTTCATTCTTTTCTTTTAATTATCTATACCAAATATAATATTTCATTTCCATCCATTACTCTTTTTTTCTTTTTCTTTTTTCATTACCATCCAACTAAACTGGGCCTAACATAGGCAGAACTTGCACCAAGAAATGACTTTCCTAATAAAATGATAATAGGAAAAAGAGCTTTTTTTTTTCTTTCTTATGCTTAGTTTTCCATGCAACCAAACTACTTTGTGAAATTCTTAGGCACCATCCATATCTTTGGAAGCTGAGGATCAATAGAATGGAATATGTGAACTTCAGAAGTGATTCTAGAAAATTAATGAAAATGATCAAACTTGACAAAGGTTGTCAAAGCTATAGAATTATAAGTTGGTCATATGGATTTTTTAATTTAATTAATTTATTTATTTTTATCATGTTAAGAAACTCACACATCCACGTATAAAAGGACAATTTATTTTTCGAAAACTTACACTCTCGATTTTCTATTTAAAAGAATTATTGATGTGGATTTGACATGGCTGGTGACTCGTACAACTATTTACCAAATAATTTAATACTTTGACCATGACCAATAATATCATTGATTATAGTTCTATAATTGTTGTTTTAATTTGTAATCTAGCATTTTTGGATTGTCTGTACAAATTGTACAATTGTATGTTGGTTAAGCAATGTTCAACAAAACTCCACATAGTACGTGTCTCCACGTGTATCGATTACATTGACAAATTTTGTGCCCCTAAAAACTTCTCATCACCCCATTCGTGTAAAATTTAAATTAATGAGACACAATTGTACATAAGTATTAATTAATTCATTGCTATAAATTATTAACCAAAACAAGTATGCGATTTATCTAACTTGATCAACCAAAGAGTTTTAGTGAATGGGATTTTGTTTAAAAATTATCGTGACAACTATCAGTCCTTATTAAGTGAACAAAATGAATCTTGTGATTATAACGTTTAATTTCATTCATTATATGTGGTGGATTTCACATTATTAAATAATTGAGACAATTGTTAGTCTCATAATATTTACTTCTTTAAAGCAATCTTACACTAATATATATATATATATATATATATATATATATATATTCACGCGTTCAAATGTTCTAGATGTGAACTACATATTGGTGTATGAGATTTTTGTTTAAAATTGTCTTTGTGATTCCAACATTCGGTTTCATCCGGTGATTTTCACATTGAAATTACTTGTTTGCAGTAATCTTAAATAAATATATGTATATATGTATTTATATATTTGTATTTATCACGTGTTCTTAGATGTGAAGGATTGAATAATTATAATTGTATACAATAAATGGTGATTCAATGAAAGGGAAGAAATCCAAAATTTGTGTATGCATGAGATATACGTGTTTTACATGCAACTATTTTCAAAAAAATAATCATTTTATTGTATTTTTCCATTGCCTTAAAATTAAAATATATACACTAATATGACCATTGCAAAAATTTTGTAATACTCCTCGTTGGTAAAGAAAATTTATTTCTCCATTGATAATATGATTCGCCGTATCATTCGATACGTGACTTTTTTTTAAGTTTGATATGCGATTCGTATCAATCAATTTACATTAATTTTATTTGAGTCTATTATATCGCGACTGTAACTAATACTCCGAACACAGTAGTCCACCTTCAACCTACCATAATCAATGGAAATTGTTGAAACTATGTTTTCAATTATGATGCCACGTTGCCCATATGAAAAAAATTTCAAAGATCTTGCAGAAGCACTAATAAATAATTGAATGGCATCATAACATATACACGTGAAAGATGATATAAAACATATCTTTGGTTCAATGATCGTATGGGCCATACAGGTCAGCATAATAATATCTGACAAGGATTCTAGTAGTTTTGGATAAAGATTGATCATTTGCTGTGAGGGCTGTGACTTGGAAGTGTTCCACTAACATTTTCTATACCAACGGGAGAGGTGATGACTTGTCCTTTCTTTTCTTTTCTGTTTTTTAATTAACTAGTCTAACTCGTTAAACCAACATACATTTAGTGAATATATATTTACTGCATTGTGTTCTTCTAAAATTTCAAACCATACTATTGAAGTTTAAGTTCAAATATAGACGATTATATCACTACGTCAATAGCTTTGTGATATAAGTCCCTACTTTTCAAAGAGTGATTAGGAGTTCAAACCTTAATTGAGAAATGTGTGTGTGAGTAATTAACTAAAATATATATATATAAATTTATATTATTAATTGGGAAAAGTTTTCAAATGTCAAAGATATTTTTAAAAATTTAATAATCTTTTTATATTGACTTTTCAAAATGAAACACGAAATTTGGGACAATCAAAAATAAATAAAAAATTGAAGAAGAATTTTGGAACACAGAAAATTTTAAAGTAGAGAATGAAATGAGTAAACTACACTTAAAACACTTGAAAAATATTATATTGAGTAAACTCTAAGGGATCCGCTCAAATGGTAAGTCACTTGGTCTTGGTGCCTCATGAAGTATCATGTTTAAGGTTCAATTCCTCTTAGATATAAATAATTCCTTAAAGGGGATGTGTGAGTATCAAAAAAAAAAAAAAAAAAAAAAAAAATTGTTATATTGAGTAATGATTACATTATCTTCGATTCGATTATTTAAACTTGGTATGAAGACTCCATAAGTAGATATTGGGTGAGTTAGGCATACCACATTATTAATATGATGCATTTTTATCGAGTAGGCATACCAAAACCGTTTTATAAAGCCAGGTTTTGTCACTAGTCTTCGCTTAAGTACTATTTGTGATCTCATTGAAGTGGTCGCAAACAACAATGACAACAGCAAGAAAAGAGGGAAGGTATAAACCCTTCTCATTTACATTGGATGATGCATTTTCATGTTAGGATTTATGTCTCAAATTCTATTATAATTAGGTTTCATAGAAACGTATTTTGTATGAAATTTTTTTGTAAGGCAATTCTTGGTCACTAAAGAATTTCTTGCAAGACAAGTCTTGGTCGCTAAGAAATTGTAATCTTTCTCTAACAAGGAATTGAGTTTGGCTTTATAAATAGATACCTAGGGTATTGTCGAGAGCTATGAGTGGAGAGATGTAGCCCATGGATGATAGCCTCATGAGGGAGTTGTGTGTGCAAGACGTGTAAAGGGAGTTTGTTAGAGTGGTAAAGAGAGGACTGATGGCGAGAGGGAGTTTCATGAAGTGGTACATGATGTAAGGCTCGAGTATCAGCCTCTATACCCTTGGAGCATGAGTACACAAAAAAACTCTATGAATAGAGTTGGTATACACGGTCCGATGTTAGAAATTCCCACTGTTGTAATATATATATATATATATATAGGCTCAAACCCCTGACCTCTCTTTGAGAAGTAGGAGCTTGATACTACTAAGCTACTAACATGTTGGTCTGTTGTAATATCTCCCTATCATTATAATGAATATCTACTTATTGGTAGACGTAGCCTAGAATTAGTGTGAACTACATATATCTTGTGTTGTGGTTTGTGAAAGATCTTCTTCTTGTTGGTTGTTATCGTTATTTTTGTTTCCGCTATACCTCAACAAGTGATATAAGAGAAGATAGTTTGGCTTGGGATGTTTCAGCCTTTTGTTTGAAAAAATTCTAAAAAAACAAAAAGAAATTCAACAAGTGTTGCAATATGGTTACAATTGCAGGTGGAGTCGACAATCAATTGGCTTATTTGGTTACGATGGTTAGTAGGATTCGCTCTCAACCCCAAAAAGAGTAGGTTCTCTCTCAGCCCGCAAAAGAGAAAGTCCGTTCTTAGCCCTGAAAAGAGTAGGTTCGGTCTCAACCCGTAAAATAGAAGGTTCGGTCTCAACCATGACAAGAGTTCTCTCTCAGACCACAAAAGAGAAGGTTCTCTCTTAGCCCCGAAAAAGAGCGCATTCTCTCTATGCCTGTAAAAGAGAAGGTTTGCTCTCGAGCCTGCCAAAAGTACATTATAGCAAAAACAATACACATACAAAGCAAAACAATCAAACAAAATTAATATTATATAATATAATATTAAATATGCTATTAATTTTTTTATATAAATTAAAAAAAGTACATTATAGCAAAAACAATACACATACAAAGCAAAACAATCAAAACAATCAAACAAAATTAATATTATATTGATTCGATCAAAGCAGACATAAGCATCAATCTATTGCAGAACTAGCATCGACCGATCGCAGAACTAATCAAACAGTCTTAAGAGCTATTTTCAAGATCGAATGGTATAAATAATCTAATCGAGGTAAGATTTTAAGGAATTTATGATAAAATGACACAAGTTTCATCATTGAAGCATCAAATTGATTTTTTTTTTTTTTTTTTTTTTTGTAAATAGCATCAAATTGAAGTTTTGGTGATAGTAATATGAATAGCTCATAAATTGGGACTTGGTGTCCATGATCAAACAATCTAGTGAAGCCTGTGTTCCAATGGTAAAAGTAGCTCGAACGAATATATATATATATATATATATATATATATATATATATATATATATATCCAGGGCTTCTATAAAAAAAATGACTTTAGCATGAAAGCATCAAATTGAGTTTTTGACAATGGTGGGATGGTAGTTTTAGAAAATGGGAATTGGTGTGGGCCAAAAAATCTTACTCTGTGATTTCTCGAAATTGGGTCAATTAGGCAGGGCGGTTCAAATCGAATGATGCAATTCAATGGACAATGACCCAAAATGATGTTTGAATCATTTGATTCAGTTAATGAGGGATTATGAGATTCATATATATATATATATATATATTTAGTTGGTACTCAACTCCTGACCTCCTTATGAAAAGTAAGGGTCTGATACTGTTAGGCCACTAATCTATTAGTAGTATGAGATTTATTTTTCTCTACACACTCATCTTGTTCTCGAGTTTTACAGTACACAAGAATTTTCTCATTTTCACTTTAAAAATAAAAAATCACAAATCACAAATCACAAATGTTGAAGTGAAATTTTAAACAATATAAATGGCCTCTGCAATTTGCATTTATGTGTATACAATAAAAAATTAGTTTACACTGGAAAAATCAATTATTTACCGGAATATCTAATGTATTCCAATTTCGATCTAGACATGGCGCATGCTCTTTAATTCAGGACCAGTCTGAACAGCTCCATCTGCACATTTAATTATTGTCAGATTATGTTTTGCCAAATTATTTCAAACAACCAATGGAATTTTTTTTTTTTTTTTTGATAAGTCAAAACCACCAATGGATTTCAATGCTTTCTATTGCAACTCTGCTCTGTATAATCTTGAAGTTAGAAGAGCACACCTGTTTCAATCAATGAGGCATGGACATTTTAAAATAAATTATAATTACAACAATCAAATAAGACTATTTCTCAGTTTAGAATCAACTAGAGTATTATATACAGTGAAATGGTCCAGCTCCCGAACGAGTGCGTTCGTGTTCAAGTCCCCCTCCCTGGTTGGTCAATCATGTAAGATAATAATAGAAAACAGTTTCTCAGTTTAGAGTCAAAAGAGTTTTACATAAGCAATAACAAATTTTGGCAGAAAAAATGAAAACAGCCAACAATTGTTACCTTAATTGCCACATTAGTTTTGACAAAGATATTCAATGATGTCATTAAAATTACAGTAAATGACTACATTCAAAAACCACAAAGTTGTGCTAATGTAAAACACTAACTATTGGGACAAATAAAGTACACAGTGGGCAAAATCCACAATCATCTTGGAAGGAAAGCGAACCCGACTGGAAATTGTGGACTGAATTCAAAAGCCAGAAAGTTGTGGTAATGTCAACTACTGCAAACAAATAAAAGTACACAGGAAAATCCACAATCATCTTGGAAGGAAAGGGAACCCAACCGGATATTGTGGACTGAGTTACAACGCGCAAGTGCTATTTCAGAACTAAGCACGGCTCATCTTCACTTTTGGCATCGACTTCTTCATCTGGCGAGCACGCTCTTTTGCCTCTTTTTTGCGAATAGACTCTGCACTGAGCTTTGCCTCGGCCTCCTCCACCATTTTTCTCCGTTCTGCCTTTCTTTTCTGCATGGCTTCTTGCCTATCCCTTTGATATTCTTTGTGCAACTCCTGGGCAATCTTCAATCTCGCTGCTTCAGTTTTTGATCGAGCCTGTGTTGTACAAATTGCAGTTTAAACATTTACCAAGATTATCAAGTTCGAAGACCAACTGTAAAGGTAATTATCATATGAGTTACCTGTGAACTGAGCTTGTATCGCCCAATTAAATCAATGTAATAGGGAACCAGAGCCACCAACCGGGTCATGTCAGCCATATGATCGGCATCAGGGAGAGCAAACTTGAACATCAAAACCTTCTTTTGGGTGCTCAAGTGTTGATCAGAGAAATGCATTGAGATGAAACCCTTTCCAAATTTCTCAAAAGCTTTGTCACCAAAGACCTGCATAAAACCAAATGTAAACCATGTAAAACAAATCTAAAAAGAGAATTATCTGGGAAGATATTTACAAAGAGCAAGAGCCCCATGAAGTTTCACAGAATTTGATTTTATATCACACTGTCAAATAGGTAGTAAGGGCACAGATCGGAGATAACTGGGCCAAAAAATGAAATGCCAAATGAACAGCTCTAAAGACGTTTAAATTACAAGTGTTAGTTAGAAACCAAGGACTTGATCCAAAAGGATTAAGGGAGCATTAAAAATTAAAATGGTACAGTACCATGTTTAAAAACACTGCAGCTTAGGGTGTCAACTGAGGAACTAAACTGTGAACGTACTGCAGCATAGGATGTTATAACTGAAGCACAAAACTGTAATGACATCTTGACTACTAAAAGACAGTTTTTTGGGGGGACAAATGACTACTAAAAGACAAAGTATAACTCTACATAAAAATGAAAGATGGAACATGAACTACAAGATGTTAGCAAACACTTTGTCCTCAGTGCCCCATCCCACTCCCCATTGATACGAGTCTGATAGAATCTTATACTAGTTACTTATAATTTGAGGAAGATGGCTCAAGGTATCAATTCAAAAGGTTAAAAAAATCCACTTCAATTTTACTATTAGAATCATTCCTTTGTCCCAAGGCTATTCATGTGTTAAGCTGATTAACGTATGAAAATGCTCCACGGACACATTATATAGAAACGTTACTTGATATTATAACATTCAGTTTTCACTAGCATTTTTAAAGTCTCCTTCAAATGCCTCTAAAAGAAGCCCCGAAAAGGTAGCTGAGTTGGATACCAGAGATCATGTGTTCCAACTCTTGGAGACATCAAGCCTCTGCCTTGGGCTTAATCCAACCCCGTGCTTTGGGGATGATTGTCAGTATCCGAAGGGAATAGTCCCACCATCGACGGACAGCTTTTAAAATCTCATTTGATGGTTGTGGTGACCATTTTTTTCAAATGGTCTAAGGTGCCCAACACATTCCCTAATTTTTATGGTCATGGTTACAAAAACTAGTTATGAAGTCACTATTTCAAGTGGTCTTTTCTTATATACTTCTTAAAATAAAAACCCATTTATAAGAAAAGCTCTTCTGAAAACATGACTTGCATTTCAAAATCTTTTTCAAAGATGTGATCCAACACATCCTGTGACGTCCACCGGGTGGGAGAAGTTGTTGGCACTAATAAGGGTGATGTCTCCTGCTTGTGTAGACATGTTTTGAAAACCGTGAGCGCCGAGAGGGTTACAAGGCGGACAATATCTGCATATCGCGGGCGGGTCCTGACAGATGAAATAGCCAGAAATTAGGAGAGCGAGCACAAGCCCGTGAGAGTCAGGCCAGCGATGATAAGAGGGATGCCTCCTACTGGTATAGGGAAGACAATATAAGCACAACATGAGGCAGGGCCTGACATATCCAATTCCTTACTCAATATTAGGAGTGATGATTATCATTACTAACCTACAAAGTCCTAATCACTTGAGCCTCATCTCCAGTTGTTTCACTAGAGAGATTCTTGGCAGTAAAATTTGATGACTGACAACTTCAGCTCCGAAAGGAATTAATAGTGGACTAAAGCAAAGCCACTTATAATTTCTTATAACATTTCTCCTTATCAAATTTCACTTTCACAATTGCATCTTATCCATTCTCTTCCTGTATTTCAATTTACATATTTTTAAGGGCAAATTGCGAAAAACCCCCCTTGACTTGTCTCCATTTGCAATAAACCCCCCTTTAGATTTGTTCTTTTTTTTTTTTTTTTTTTTTTTTTTTTTTTTTTTTTTTTTTTTTGGCACTGAAAGTAGAGCAGCAACTCCTTTCCTTTATTTTCTAGACATTTTGTTAAATCATCGAATCAATCCGTGTTTTAGTAAGAAAGTACCTGCTGATTTAAGTTTAGAAATATATCTATGTATTTTAAATATATACCAATGTATATGTGTGTGTGTATCCTCAACCACCTCTCGTAAAGGAAAGCCTTAATTATTTAGATTTAAGTCTCTGGATTTTAAAGCATTACAACATATAAATCAACATTCAAAACATATGTTATTATAAATCAAACATTCAATACAACAAAGAAAAAGGGAAATTTTCAGATAATTAATATGATTTTTTTACAATTCCTGCCATAAACATACCAAAATGTCATTAGTATAGAATTTATATATACATAATACATATATATATTTTATAAGTAATTTATATATGTAATCAACGAATAAGACGGAAAAAGAGAGTAAAATGGAAGTGACCCATCTGTTTTCTTCCAACAAAAACTTGATACCTTTTTCCTTTTTATTTATTTTTATGTTTTCAAACTATTGTCGGTTGAGATCGAATGAAGTAACAAATCAACCTCTTAAGACCTTAATAGCCAAGAGAATAGTGTTTTCCTAGGAAAGTTACCACTGAAACGTTGCATACTTCTTCAAATCCCAACTGCCCAATTCTAAGCATCCAACTTTAATTCCGATAAAGGAATAAGGAGCAAAATAAAGAATTAAGGGGCATTTTTGTCTCAAAAATAGCTGAGCATCCCCCTTGTTTGGTTGAGGGGAGTTTTGTGCAAAAAAAACTCTAAAGGGGGGTTTATTGCAAATGGAGACAAGTCAAGGGGGGTTTATTGCAAATCGCCCTATTTTTAATAAGTTATTTCAATTTAGATTTAAAAAAAAAAAAAAAAGGAAGGAAAAAGAAAACCTGATATGTTATTATCCCCTTTTGTTTTAAACAAGCTTTTGGCCTTTCATCATGGTAAATTAAGACCAAACATCCAATAGTTCACTTGTACACATTATTGACTCTTTTTTTTAACTTTAGACTTAGATAGGACATATCTTTGCATATAATCCCACTCGGTAAATTTTCTTTTGTAGGTGATAAATAATCACTCTTCAGATTTGCATTTTTCTATAATTTATTTTACGTGATTCTTTAGTTATCTTTTAAATATGTTTGAAAAGGGCTATAAATATTACCGTTGTCAAATTTTTGGATCCCTTATTTTAGTAATGTAATTTCATGCTGGATCATGAAAAACTTAATGAAATATCCTTATTCATGGATAATTACTAACTTGTTTCAATGAATCTCCAAATTAAGAACTGAAACATGGGCAGTTAAGATGGACTGAATGCATGGACAAAGGCAAGATATCCTACCTTAAATGATTGCGCTCCTATACATTCCTTTTAGGTCAAGTAACCAAGGTACAAAACCTTTTATACCAACTTAGGTCAATCTGAAAGAGCTATTCAACATCTCTTGCTCATCTCTTTCCTATGATCAAGAGACTTGGATTCTGCCCTCCCTCTTAGAATTCTTCATCCTCATTCCCCTCCTCATTCTCAATTCTCTCTATTTTTCACTTCAATGAACTCTATAAGAAATTATATCAGTTCTAGTAATAGAAAATTCTTTATTTTCTTCCTATATGAAATCATATTCTAACATTTGGTACTAAACTTGACATATCGTCATATCTGTATGGCAGAGTGAGTACCAAACTTATATCAAAGAAACTCAGAAATATAAACTGAAATTAATTAATCACTACTCTCTACCATCACCAATGTCCAATGAACATTAAGATCACAGATGTATAATTTAATTTCCTAGTATAATAGCAGAAGACAACTGTAGCAGTTAAAAATGGAGGAGGATTCAAAGAAGACATATGTTAAATTTTCCAAGATATATATTAGGAGGAGTTCACAGCTAAATCCCAGGTTACAGTTACAGGCCCTTTCTCTCTAGGTGGATGTAGTCTGCATTTTCTATTCCACTAAGCCTCTATTTGGGGCAGTGCCTGTTGGAAGATAATTTGTATGAGCCTCTCCCCGAGAAAATTGTAAAGCTACTACTTTGGGTCTTTTTGTCCAGGTGGACGTGGAGGTAGTCCAAATCTTAACAGACAGTGATGGAACCAGGATTTTATTTTAGGGAGGGCCTAATGGGCATTAACATTAAGCCAATAATCCGGAATATAGAAAAGCAGTAATGGCTATGTTACCCGGACTCGGGTACGGGTGTCGGACATGGGCGCGTGTCTAGAGGTTGGATCCTTCTATTTATCAAATTATAGGACACGGGGACACGGATTAAAAGTGTCCAAATTTCAGACACGGGTACTTGGACAAGGCATACAGAAACATATATATATATAGTAGGCATGGCATAATTAGTTAAAATGAAAGACAATTTTAACTGACTGTTAAAATAAGTTACCTTTGAAAGCCTATTAGTAATTAAAAGGGTATTTATTGTAAAGCTGTAACTATTATAAATACTTAAGAAATAATAATAATAATAATAATAATAATAGTAAATTGTGGGTTACAGCCTGTGGGGATACGGCTGTAACCCATATATTGATGTGTGGCCATATGGGTTACACGAGTGCCATTGCACTGTGGGCTACAGCTGGTGGGTTACAACTGTCAGTTGAACCATTTCGCGAAGCATATGTCCAGAACCCACACATATGAGATATATATGATAAGAACATACTCGTTGTTTGGTGGATAAGTAGAGAACAAAAATAAAGTTACAAGCGTGAATAACACACCAGCAGATCCTTTATTCGATGCAAAATACGCATGAGAAGGAATCGTCATCGTCTTCTTCCTTTCAAAGCCCTAAATGGAGACTCCAACCACCATTTTTTATTCAGAGCTTCTTCAGATCCCGTGTGTTCGTCTAGCAGACGTATCCAAATACAAATATGAAAGGTCAGACTCATATCCCGTGTCTGTGTCGTGTCGTGTCAACACGAACACCCTCGCTGGTACCGGCGAGTTCAGGTAACATAGAGTAATGGTGCATTAATCAAGATTCAAATAATATGTCATTATTCGCAAAAAAAATTATAATAAATAAATTTTTTTAAAAAAATACAAAATTAAATTCATGAAATAATAATAATAATTTTAAAAAATAAGAGGAAAAAAAAAAAAGAGAGAAAAAGAAAAAAGAAGAGGTTACGGCACATAAGTCTAAATTTTTTCTTTTTTTTTTTAATAAGTAAAGATTGTATAAAATGTGTTCAAAAGGGGAACGCATCCCTTAAAAGCTACACAAGGCCAAATAGGTCCTCTATACCCTCAAAGACTCCCCTGAAACCCAACAAAAAGAGTACTAATAATGGAGAACTTTGTCCAATAGGATTCTCCTTTCCTTCAAAGGATTCCCTATTCCTTTCAAGCCATAAACACCACCAGACGCATAAAGGTGCGACCCTCCAAAAATCACGTGCTTGGGCCCCCACAATACACCCTCTCCAAGCCTCTGGAAGATCTGGGCATAACCCAGTGAACCCCAAACAAGCCCAACAACAAACTCCAACAATCTCGAGCCACGAGACAATGCAAAAGAAGAAGATCAACCGTTTCCTCATCATTCTTACACAAGCAACACCAATTAACCACAATCAGATTCCTCCTATTGAGGTTATCCTGCGTCAATATCTTCCCGAAGATGGATGTCCAAGCAAAAAAAGCCACTCTGAGAGGGGCCTTCAAATGCCAAATAGCCCTCCATGGAAAGGGCGGAACCAGAACATCCGAAAAACAGCGATAAAAAGACCGAACATCAAAGCAACCTTGTGGAGAGGGAGTCCACACACAAAGGTCAGAAACCTCCCCCACAATCTCCTGGTAATAAAGCAACTCAAAAACACCAATAGCATCCCCGATTTCCCAATCCTAGAAATGCCTCGAGAAAAAAACATCCCAAACCGTACTCCCACCATCGAGACGAAAACAGTCGACCACCATGGCATATCTATCTATAGCAATTAGGAAAAATCTAGGAAAGATGAGGGCAAGAGGAAGATCACTACACCAAGTATCCTACCAAAAACGGATCACCTACCATCCCTAACTCGAAATATGTGTGTTTGGAAAATTCATCCCACCACTTACGGATGAGTTTCCAAACCCCAACTCCGCTAGGTACTCTAGCCTCAGAAAAGCACTATCCTCCTCTTGCCTCCCTAAATCTGCTCTCAATCACCCTCCTCCAAAGTATGTGCCTTTCCATTCCAAATCTCTAAAGATACTTTCCCAACAAATCCTTATTGAAAGACATCAGTCTTCTGATTCCCAAACCTCCTTTCTGGATCAAAGTACATACCCGCTCCCCACTAACCAACCAAAATGAGGGACGTGCACAAGCCCGTGAGCTCTGTTACATGGACTCTTCAAAAGTAGTGAAGTACCCGTGTTGGACACGTATCCCTCGGACATGGGTATGGGATATGTATCCGACACTTTCGGTTAAACATGTACTTAAAAAGTATATCCAATCATTCAATTACATTATATTGTTACTTTAAAATAAGTTAAATGCCTATATTAATCATTATATTAGATAAAAACACTACGGGCCCAAAGGCATCCAAGTTTTTAAGAGGGAGAGGACCAAAGCAAGCATGGGTCCAAACCGTTTACCACACGCTCGCGCGCCCGATCCGGGCTTGGGCTTGATTGTGAAGTCCCTTTAATTTTTACCATTTTACTTATCAAAAAAAAATATTAGATAAAAGCACTACTTTACTCTAGAAAATAAAATAAAATAATTAATAAAATGTAATTTTAGCCGTGTTTGTGTGTTCTTCTGTTTGGAGATTTGACACGTCCGACGCATGGATATATACCTGTGTCCAACGCCCGTACCCGAGTCCATGTGACATAGCCCGTGAGGGTCATGCCAGAGAGGATGCTTGGTCCAAAGAAGATCGAGAATCAGAAAACACTTTTGGCCCTTCCCCTTGAAACGTTTCTTGTTCTCTTATTCCCTTCTCTCTTCCTTTTTCTCTCTTATTTGAAGAACCCTAGTGCATGTTAAATCAAGTTTTCCATTAAAGTTACCACATCTATTAAAACTAGACATTTCCATCCATTTGGTTATTTGTCGACCCATAATTATCCGAAGTTGTTGTCCAAATAAGAATGCCATCACTTAAATAAGAATTTGAGAACTACTTTATTATTATTATTATTTTTTTTTTTTTTTTTGGGAAGATCAACACACGTTTATTATAACTAAAAGTTTATTGAATGGTGACCTATATGCATTGTCAGTGAGGGATTCTCATCTCTCTTTGTTCTTGTTTTCTACTTTTTTATCAATATGTTCATTAAGACTCAAATTTCTAAATAACACTTTTCATAAAACTCGATATAATCTAATCTAATGTTACTTAACCTCAATGTCTACACTACATAAAGTGCTCTCATTGTACATTTTTCATTAAACTAAATGACCAATATTTTCAAAGATATATCTTAATCATATCAATATCTAATATTCCTCCTTTGCCTCCAGTGTATTTATGACCCTGGTTCTTTTTTGTTTCTTAAGTGGGGGAGAGAGAAGCTACTTCCCCAAGTAACTATTTAATCAACTTTTTGTCAATTTCTTCAACTTGAACTTAAAAGTAAGAGAAAGAAATTCTATTTAGCCAGTTCAATGTCAACACTACATAATGTGCTCGCATTGTACATTTTTTCATTAAACTAAATGACCAATATTTTCAAAGATATATCTTAATCATATCAATATCTAATATTCCTCCTTTGCCTCCAGTGTAGTTATGATCCCGGTTCTTTTTTGTTTATTAGGTGGGGGGGAGAGAAGCTACTTCCCCATGTAACTATTTAATCAACTTTTTGTCGATTTCTTCAACTTGAACTTAAAAGTAATAGGGAGAAAGAAATTCTATTTAGCCAGTTACATTATTATTACACCTTGAACCCTTCACATCACAAAAATAAAAAGTAATAATAATTACCCCACAAGTGTCCAGAACGTGTCATTACCGTCTAAGCCGTGTCCTAGAAAAAATAAAATATTTAAATTTCAGAACACTCCTAGCCGTGTCCGACACGTGTCCAGTGTCCGACACTGCCACGGCACCCCCCTAGGTGAAGTGTCGGTGCATTTGAGACCACGACAAAGCAACATAGCCACATAGTCCCCAATCAAGCAAGAAGTAGGGCAGACAATTAACTACGTCATATTCATCCTTTATCATGCTTTCAACACAAGTTAAACATCAACAACGATATATGATATCATCCAATACAATCAAACATCCAATCTGCTGATATTGAATAAATGGAGCAAAACTTATTAATTTGAATAATTATTTTTCTCAATTGTAATATTCCTTCTCTCCCACAACTCGAATGCACCATTCTTATTTGTTTCTTCTTACACCAACGGATTGGGAAGAGAGAAAGCTCCACTTCTTGAGGATACTCTTAGTAAGGAGGGGAAGGGTTGTGGAAAGCAAAGTAATTCTAACCAATCCCTTTCCCTTGATACTACTAAAAATCCCATAATAAAGTGCAATAAATGAATAATTACATAACTTCAATTAAAATTTAAATTACCCATTATATTACTCAGATATGCAATTCAACTACTCCTAAATTCATTGCTATAAATATCGTTCAATAAATCATGTCCATCCGCTCCATGAGTTGAGGTAGTCCCAAAACCAATTCCCCGAACTAAGAGGTTTGCATCTCCAAGTCCTCAAACCGCTCCTTTTTCATCCTGTTAGTATACTTGTGTTGACTTTTGTGGCTCACTTCTGATGTCAGCATTTACATCACCCATTTACATCATTCCTTGCTTCATCAACTTGGCAGCCAAGTAGATTGATCAAGAAGCTGTGCGTGGTCACCAAGCAGCCCGGCCCATGTGTGATCAGCAAGATATATGCTTGCTCAGCAAGCATAAATTGGTATCCTTTGGCTATAAATAGCCATGTATCTCATGCATCTAAGGCATCCCAAAAATTGAGTGTGAATTTGCTCATAAAAGCAAAGCAAAGTGTGTGAGAGTTATGGGTGTAATTGGGTTTTGGGTGTGAGCCACTTAGCCTTATATCTCTTTATTTCTATAGTGAAATATTGATCTGTCTTCTCCCAGTGAACATTGGCATAACCAAACCACATAAATCCTTGTCTCGTTTGAGTGTGTGCCTATTTTATTTTTCTTGTCATTTATTTTTCTCTTGTTCTCATAAACTCCTATTCGATCCTTATTTCATAACAGCTTAAGATGAAATTAAAATAGTTGACCTTTTTTATTCCATTTCTTTGGACTCCACAAGAATTTGTCAATATTTCTCAAATTCGATGGGATGTGCTACCTTGTAATTATGTCCCAAAACCACATGCTTGCATGAAATCACAACTACAAAATCCTCACCTTTCTGCTTCTGCTAGCAACTGGTGAAATTTATGGGAACTTGTTCCAAATGACGATTAAAGAGCCTAGACACACTAAAAATTACAAGACTAGTTGCCTCTTCTCCCCACCACTCCCAACTGACTATTTCATTGAACAACAGTTAAGACTGGACAACAGATAAAATCATATCAAACCAAGCAACCTTGGGGGCTATTTGTTAAAATTCAAACCAATGTAAACAATAAAGCGCAAGAATGCAAGTGACTAATAGAAACCCAAATAATAAAAAAATCAGAACTAATGATATAACACAGAAGTAAATAGTTCAACATTTCAATAACTGATCAACCTCCTAACCAAAAATAAATAAAAAATTTACCTGATCAAGCACTGCCTCAGTTATTAAATCTCCGGCCACCTCCTTCGATTCTGAAATAACAGCCAAATCCTCTGTGACCCACTTCCTATTACTTGGTGGGGATACCAAACTAGCAAACCTCTGAAGATCCCTTATCTCTTTCTGCATCGTTTTCGCCGCCTTCTTCTTTGCCAAAGCAAAAACCACCTGATCCATTGCATCATCATTCATATAAACCTCAAATGTCATCTCATCCCTACACCTCACAACCATATTGTACAATCTCGATAGCAAATCGTGCCGACTCTGAAGTTCCATAGTTGCCAACAACCCCTGACAAAACCGCCGCCCACTTGCATAAAACTTGAATACATTCGTTCCTTCTTTCAACAGCAACGGCGAGTCATCACCATCGCCAACCCCCAACAGACTGAAATTTTTCTCAAAAACGGAGTCTTTGGTCGCAAATTTTGCAGCCCAAGCCAAAGCAATGTTCTCATTCTCTCTCTTGCCCATAAAGTAATTGATTGTAAACATAATCAAGAACGAGACGCAGACTATCTCAACTGTGTACGATCGGGGAACAACAACAACATTCTTCGGCTGCGGACTTGCTTCTGAATCAGTACCAGGACCCGCAGGAGTTGCAGTTTCGGTTACTTTTGTGGCTTCTGGGGTTGCTTCTACAGGGAGGCCTTCGAATTCGTCTTCGTCCCAGTAATCGAAGGAGGTCGATGAGGGTTTCGGAGAAAGATCGGCCGGCTGAGATGAATCATCGGTCGTGGGTGGGTTTGGATCAGGAGGGCCATGGTGGGATTCGGGTTCAGACTGAGTTAGGGTTGGAGGCGGTGAAGATCGGATTGGGAGATCGGTGAGTCGGAGCGAGTCGTCTTCTAGGGTTTCGTCGTCTTCGGCGTCGAAGCCTTCGAAGTGTGAGTCGGCAGCGACGGATGAGATAGAGAGGTGGTGGATGAGGAGTGACAAAATGGAGAATAGAGCAATGATGTACCAGAGCGTGTCGCCTCTGGGAAGGAGCAGGGATGAGAGAGGAGAGAACCAGAGGGGTGAGGAAGAGCGCTTCGCCATGAGTGTTTGATCTAGAGGGAGAAAATGGATTTTTGGAGAGAGAGAGAGCGAAGGAGGGGGTGGGGGAGTATTTGGGGATGTGGTGAGCTTATTAGTGTCAGTGTACATGAGATGGTGACGCGAATTTTCGCAGGGGATTCATTTAGAACATTTTGGTAACTTGACTAGAATTACAAAGGGTTATTTATTATTATTTTATTATTTTTTGTTGGAATTAGTCAATTATTATTATTTTATTATTTTTAAAAATAATAAAATAATAATAATTGGCTAATCACAATTCTTTTTCTTTTTCCACAAAATCCAAGGTGAACCTCACCTGTTTACAATAATACCCATTGACTTCTTTACATTGTTCTTCTTTTTTCTTTTTTTCTTTTTTTCTTTTTTTCTAATCTTAACAAAGATGTCAAATTCGATACACACCCTATTTGACCGTCAAGGGATAATATTTCCTGCAAACTCGTAGACTTCGACGAAAGTTATGACACTATAATTAAATGAAATTCATCTAGTAGATTCAAATAATTGGGAAAAAAAATTATTATTGAAAATTATTATTGTTGTACTTACCTACCCACTTGTTAAGAAATGGGTGATATCTCATCATAGTTGATGCGGTTCAATTATATATAAATAATTTTTTTATTATAAAATAAAATAAAAAAATAGAACCACAGTGAACTTCATTAGGTAAAATAGTTCCATGGCACTTCTCATTTCTCTTTCAACCATTCCATTGTTCACATCCTTTGTGATATTCCCAATTTTTAAGCGCGGATTGATCATGTCTACACTCAAAAATCAGGAAATATCAAATAATTAATAATAAGTAAGCACATAAAGAAAATAAATAATACCAAAGGAAATCTAAATAATAATAATAAATTCCATTTATAAATAATCCTCGAATAAAATTTATAATTGAAATAAACCTCCAAGAGTACAACTCGGGAATCTATTAACCAATGACTCCTAATTAATCCTATAAAAACTGAAATAATAAAAGTCTAAATCTCATGGAATAAATAAATAGAGTAATATTTCTACGTCAACGAATCCTAAAGAATGATGAAGATTGTCACTGATTATTATGAGTTCAACTCTAAGATTGGAACTGACAAGAACTTGAAAAATGATAATAAATTGTGGGTTAGACCCACGAGCAAGCCCTCTCTACTACGACCCAATCAGAGAACCGATAAACAATCCATTTCTAGCTAAAACTCAAGTAAATAGCTATACAGTTATACATACATATACACACTAATAGATGGTCACTATGTACAGGGAATCTCAACCAGATAGAGGATGTCACTTACAAATCGCACACAAAGTGGTCAAGTGTCCCCTGTATCCTACCCGGGAAATAAATCTCCTATACAAGCTACACATCTCTGGCAATATACGCCCCAGTCCTAAACACTAATCCCAAGACTACAACTCGTATTAGGCCATATACATTTAATATCAACAATATAGTCATATCTAACAATGACACAATATAATTAAAGTGAGTCTAAACTTATTAATTAGCTCACCTACACATCCCATATATCATAGCCATATCCTGACAATGGCACAAAATAAATGAGACTAAACTTATTAGTCGGCTCATCCACATCCAAATATCATAGCCATATCCTTACAATGGCATAATATATGTAAGACCCAACTTATTAGCCAGCTCACATAAATCATCTCTGACATTCATCAATTGAATCTATATAACATCATCAAACATAAGCATGATTAATATCACACATCCTTAATAGGAATAACTAATTAATATCATTCGTTATAACACATTACAAAATCTATCTTGATTAGTATCAATTATCATAGCACATAAACGTGGATTTAACTTAGGTTAATTAATGTATGTTATGAGCCCTTTTCCTGCAGCGCGACCGATCGCATAAGGGGTCGCAACCATTCGCATTTAGGTGTGACAGTTCACATCTCCATACTTAGAATATTTTTTTGAAACTCCAAATTACATGTTCTCGGTACCATTATTCGCTTCAAGGGATCGACTAATTGAATTAATGACGCGATTGATCGCACTCTCCACGTAATTGGTCGCATTCGTCCTAAACGCGAGAGCTGCTACGCGCGACTTTGGGTTTCAGATCTGATTTCGCCTAACTAGGAGTTCTACTGATGCAAAAACATGCCCAACTATTGATAATATGATAAGCGTTGAAAGTTGCATATTTGAGCCCTTAAACTTGCATGTTATAGCTCCTTAGTGATGATTACATAGTAGTAGTTATGTTATATTATTGATTTTTTGTCATTTTTAGGTAATCTCTAGAAATTCAGTTTGTTCCATTGCTTTTAGGGTCTTTGAGTTCAATCAACGGATGGAGACCGCAAGAGCTAGACCATCCATGGTGATCCAATGACCAAGATCATTCAAAGCTAATTCTAGAAGACTTTTAGGGGAGTTTTCAGCAAGAAAATGTCGTTTTTGGGTCATTATATGAAGAAAATGAGGTTTCCTATTCCCATAAGGAATCAACTTGAGTAGGAAATTATGTACCAGCTTTAGTATTTTGGGCATAACGTTTTGCGGAAAACTTGGAATTAGGCAAACTTAGTGGCTCTAGAAAGAAGACTCAAAGCCTATCATTTTTGTGTCTAATATAAATTTCTAGATTCGTACTCTAAATAGGTCAAAACAGCGTTGCAATATGACAAAAATTTAGAAAATTGTTTAGGCTTTTTTCTTTTGCCTGGTTTTTTCTATTTCCTTTCTTTGGGAGGAAACCCTACAACATATATATATATATATATTGGAGATGTCCAATAGGGAAAAAAGAGGATGATACAAAAGAAACCTTGTGGCGGCTTTTAGGGTTTTAAAGATTGAAGATTCCAATTGGTGGTCCACAGAGATGGCTTCTATACTGGGACGGAGGCAGTTAAGGATCGGGAGGGGGGGGCACGTGCCCCCCTGGATTTTCTCCCTCTTTTATATTCTATATATATTTTATAATAATATATATGTTTTTTAATGAAAATATAGAAAATGCCTCCCCTGAATTTTATCATTTTTCATAAAATTCTATATATGTTTTATATTTTTTCTCCTAAATTGTTTCCTTAATACTTATATTTTATATATGTAAATTAATTTAATTCCAAAAATATCACTATCTCTTTCTATATATATATCTATATATATATATATATATATATATATATATATATACATTGTATTGTAAATATATGTTACGGTATACAATACTTATAATGTGCCCTGTAACGTCCCAAATCGGGGTCTGGATCGTTAACCGGGTCCTTAACCAAACCCGATGACACACTAGGGGTAAAATAATCATTTTACAATGTGAGTGGGTAATCCATCCTTAAACTAATCCAATAGGATTTAAAATAGTCATTCTTAATGTAACGACCCAAATCCACCGGGTCCGGATCATTAAACGGATCTTTATCCGACCCAAAATCATTCAATGGTAATATAGTCCTTTCACGTTAAATTTGCCAATTCAAGTCCAAAAGGGGCAAAATGGTAATTTGTCTCAATTCAAATGGTTTGAAACTCAAAAGGACACAATAGACATTTACTTGGGTCTTATAAAAATAATAAATAAAAAATAATAGTAATAATAATGATAATAAAGTCCAAGGCAATATACTATTTTCTAGGGTTAAAATTTAATTATTGTATTATACTGAGTCATATAACGTGTAACAAGTACACTTAAGTGAGTAGGCGAAGGCAAAATGGAAAATAAGCCACAAATGTTTACAACACATGAACCAATTGATGTATCACACGTCAGCTGGTTTGGGTTACGTACAGTGACGTTGCCCACTGCCGAGATACCGGTCGACGTGTGGGAAGTTACACGTTGACCGGTTCAGGTCATGTACAGTGAAATAGCTACTGCCAAGATACCGGTCGACGTGTGGGAGGCTACATGTCGACTAGTTTAGGTCTTCCGGTCGACGTGTGGGAATTTTACGTCGACCGGTTCTGGTTATCCAAACTCAAAATTTCCACTGTCCAAGATACACCATTGATAACCAATCATCCACGCCACTATACTCACGTACACATTTAAATAAATTTTAACATCTAATACATTAACAACAACAACAATATTCACAAAAAATTACAACACGTTACATGAAATATACTAAATGATTTAGTATAACTAAGCATAATTACATTTCCCATAAAGGCCATATGCACAATGAAACTGAATATTTCACATGCTACAAAATGATACATTGAGGTCAACACCTTACAAAATGAAGCCTAATACAAAAGGTAGCAAAATATACATTCTCCTAATCCAAGCTAAAGCTATAGTGGATGGTCGTCCACCACCTCTTTTCCCGAACCTGAAAATATTAAAATAATGGGGTGAGCTAAACGCTCAATAGAAAATGTCTAATACACACTTCTTATTGGGCACCATAATTTAAATTTATAAACCGCTTAACACCTATACTATGTAATATGAGTGAGAAGGGATCGTCCCAAGGGATTGAGGTGTCGTACTAGGTTGAGGAATCAAGATTAGGGTTAGTAGATCGAGTGATCAAAGTAGTGGTTGGTTGGTTGAATTAAACTAGATGCAAATTGAACTAAAGTAAACAATAATACAACAGAGAGAATAAAAGAGAGAGAGAGAGATCTTGGGGCCTAGAGATCACCACTAAGCATAGTTTTTCTACACCTCTAATGAATGATTAATGAGGGGAAAAACATGTATTGCAACAAAGTGTGTGTGTGTGGTTGTTTCAACAAGCATGGATGACAAATTAAGCATATATAGCCTAAACAACATGGTGGATAGCACAACATATCAAATTAAGCCATTAATCCTTTCTTTAAGCTCACAATCCAAACACATCACAAGGTTAAAGATGCATGTTACTTGTTTTTATAAGTATGGAACATCAACAACAAGCATGGATTGTCCTCCCATTCAACAACTACACTACAACTAAGCTAATGACATGAAATTAAGCTAATTAAACTAAGGGTGAGGTACAATCCATCAAGAAATGAGTATGAACCATCAAATAAACCACAAGAA